GTAGCTTCGCCTTCTCTCTTGCCATTGCTGTCTACTCACTCCACTCCGTTATTATCATGGTAGGCAGATCACCTACCAACAAATTGATAGGGCAGACATTTGAAAGATCCGTCGCCGACACAAGGCCGACTGCGATCATTAAAGTTATCCAGAGTCATCACAGAATTCAACAGAGACAGCCGAAACTGCCCCCGGTTGGTTCTGTTCTAATAAATGCACCCGTTCCCTTGCGGGTCAGGGCATAATTGCATGTATTAGCTCTAGAATTACTACAGTTATCCATGTAGCATATATGATCTAAGGAACCATAGCTGATTTAATGAGCCATTCGCGGTTTCACCGTTTTAAGGTATGTACTTAGACATGCATGGCTTAATCTCTGAGACAAGCATATGACTACTGGCAGGATCAACCAGTTTATTCACACAGTGATACACCCATTGACTGGGTATTGGTTTTCAGGTAACCAAACACACACATCCCTGCCTCTTGCGAGACAAGAACGGCATGCATGATCGTCCTGTGGCGCAACCACTCGAGTGCCCTCTTCCTCGGTGGACCATTCGCACCTTTAGTTTATTTGCTACAAATAGGTAAGCATTGTTACGCCGATCGTTGATCGCGTCAATCAATTATGCACTGCATAGACAAGCTCAATAGAACTCATCTCGCATACAAGACCAGCCAAACGTATTATTATATGCAAAAGTAGCATGCATTGCAACGCTATATTGACAATAGGCCCGTATAAACGAAGCCTGCAGCCACCAAATTCAATGAAATTGTTATCCCTGCCAACCGATTTAGCATGTAAATGGCTTCTATACGTCTACCAAGACTATAGAAAACCATACACAGTCAATAAGCGAGCAATGAGAACCGGTTAACTCACGCTCATATCGCATATATAGCTTATGCTGTGTTTACTATAGGATTTATAGGGTCTAAGCTTATAGCCTAGCAAGGGCGCTGTAGGGCTTAGACAAGCTCAGAACCCTATGGTGACAGATACCAAAACGCGTTTCACGCATTCCTCTATCGAATGGAATGGTTTTTGAAATTTTCGATTTTTTCACGTTCTGGACCCGAGTTAGGGGTACACTCAAACCGTGTTGTATACTTTGGATTTATTGCAGGAACCTATCATCCTTATCCGAAGGCAAATCTACAACTGGAACACAGCTTCTATCAGTAGACACGATTCCAACAGTCAACGCTTCTGTGGATTATATAAATAATTTGTAGCAGTGGGCTTTAACAGTATATCCAAGTAACCTATTAATTAATATCACTCATTACTGCATTTTGATAATATATTGTTGCATTGTACTCTCATTGACTTCGATTTTTATTCGCATATTTGTTATGTTAATGATCTTGCTCTAGACAGTCCCATAGAAATTAATTGGTGAGCCCGTTTGAACTTCATAGCTTTATAAAAGCTCTATATTTATATTGTTATCATTTTGTTTTGACTGAATATTCTATGTATATTTATATCTGTTTACATGTATATTCGCATAATAATCATGTCCTCACCTACACGTTCACCTGATGCAACTGAGACTAACGAGGCACAGGACTCATCAATCAACGCAATAGTTGATCTGCTTCTACCGCCATTCGGTTTCACTGAACCGCGGATTTGGTTCGCCATCATCGAACTCCCTTTTGCTACCCGCGAAATCAAGTCACAGATCGCGAAGTATGGATGTGTTTTGGCCGCACTACCCACAGAGGTTCTAGTGGACATTAGCGATATAGTTGACAGCGCCCCAGCAGACAACTAGTATGATAGGCTCAAAGCAGTTTTGATTCAAAGTAGGAGTGTATCTGGAGTGAAATCCGACCAACCAGGGTGCAGGTGCCTTAGTAGGTCCGGACGATCAATGCCTCATTAATCTGGGGATGGCGGAAACATTCAGTTTAGCCCTCGCCAAATAGTCAAACATCAATGATGGTATTACTGATTTGAACCAAAATGGAGGTGTCACTGCTTCACCGGAGGAAAACCTAGTGGTTACTCCCCCAAATAAACCCGGCATTAGTACTAAGGAAGCTACAGCAACTCACACCTGGGAAGTCCCCAGGTTGTGACGACGTCAGGCCATCTGTTCTGAAACAGTGCACAGAAGCTCTCTGTGAGCCCTTACGCGACTTGTTCCAACACTCAATGGAATCGGGGAAACTGCCAAGGGAGTGGAAAAGAGCCATCATTTCTCAGATTTTCAAGCGTAGGAACAGGAAAAATGCCACCAGTTATAGACCGGTACGCTACTCCCAGTGGTATCAAAAGTACTGGAAAATATTACTGATCATCACATCAGGGAGCACCTTGATAGTACTACTGGACTATTTGGAGCGCAACATGGTTTCGGGAACGGCATATCCTGTGTAACAAACCAACTATCAGCTTCGGACATTATGGTGGGATGTGAATATTCCCATCCATGTGGTCTACTCAGATTTCGAGAAGGCATTTGACACTGTTAACCATGACCTTCTCCCACACAAAATAAGCCAGGTAGGTCTAGATAAACCACTTCTGTCATGGTTGAAGGACTACCTAACTGAAAGGCAATTTTGCACTGAGGTTAATCGAGTCCGATCATCTTGGCACAACTCGTCATCAGTGACGTCACACGGTTCTTTCCTAGGACCACTGATGTTTTTCATTTTTATCAATGATCTGCCATGCCGTCTAAGCTGCCCGACTCTTCTATACGCTGATGACGTGAAGATATGGAGGGCGATAAAGTGTCCGGAGGACTCGGATAGACTACAGGCAGACCTAAACCTTCTGGAAGACTGGGCGGTAACCAGTGGCATGACTTTCAACGTGAAAAATTGCAAAGTAGTGAAATTACGCACCTGTAGACTGCAGAATGCAAGTTACACCCTGTGCAATGGAAGCTTGTCCTGCACAACGTCAAAGCAACACTTAAGTCTAGTCCTAACGGAAAAATGGACACAAGCGTGAAGAACACTGGTGGTGTAGCGAGGGAATATGCGGTCATACACTTTACACATAGACAATTAGGTGCACTCACTCCTGAGCTCTTTCTAAGGTTGTATAAAACATATGTCAGACCGCATCTTGAAGTGCATAATATCATTGCACCCCATTGCTAAGAAGAGACGCCAACCTCTTGGAAAGAGTCCAAAGACAGGCAACAAAAGGAGTGGTTGGTCTCTGAAACAAACCCTATGATGAGAGGCTAAATAAATTAGGCCTATTCACACTTAGATACCGTCGGCTTAGGAGGGATTTGATTATTATTATTATATTCTTGTTCCTTTGGGTTCCTAGTGAAACATAGGGCTTCAACTGCTTCAACGTCTCCACCTGCTACTGTCTTCTGCTGTACTCTTCACTTGCATACACGTTAGTCCATACCGTTTCAGCTCCTCTTCACACGGCCTCCTCCATGTCACCCTTAGACGTCCCACTACTCGCCGCTTCCCTTTCGGCGGGTTCCACTCGAGCTATGGCCTGACGCGCGATGTCACCCAGCAGCCTCCCCAGCGAGTGTCCATCCATCTCCACTTTCTCCTGCATATTTATTGAGCGACTGGTTCTTGTTTTGTTTCTTCCCATAGCTTCTCGTTTGTGATTCTTTCCGGCCATCTGATCTTCAGTATAGAACGAAGACAGTTGTTGATAAAGGTCTGCAACCTGTTAGAAATATTCTTTGTGACCCACCAAGCTTCTGATCCGTATAGCAAAACTGCCTACAAAATAATGAGTGGCCATGATAATCACACAAATGAGTCCTGCCATTGAGTAGTTATGAGCTTCCTTGCGAAAATCCCAGAATGATAGCTCACCAGAGGACAAAGACTAGGGTGCGGCTCCCTTCTTTTCACTGAGGGTTTGCAATCGCTGCAACTCCTAACTGACAGATGTACCTACGGCACTGTCTCTGGACAGCTTTAAATGAAGGTTGGAACAATGAGTGCGTTCAAATAGCCTAGTCCCTAAAATCCCATAGCGAAATCATGGGCAAACTTCTAAGTTCTTCGATTCACTTCTTTACATTTTCTCCTGTCTTACTCTCCTAACCTCTCAAACTACTGCATTTATTTTTATTACCATTATTATTACAAATATTATGTACATATATATATTTATATATGTATATCAACTTTAAATTTAATTGGATATCTGTTTTTACGTTTTCTTTTTTCTTTTCCTGACTTTTATTTTTTTATTTTATTTTAGCTTGACTCCACATAGTATTTTTTGATACAAGTATGGAATTTTCAGCATGTGATATCGGTAGCCCAAATTTTGCAGGCCGACCATTGATATCGGGTGTGCGTCGGCCGGGGATCGAACTGTGGATCATGTGCATGGTCGGCGAGCGTCCTAACCGCTGTGCCACCGGCGCACAGATGTCCTGGATATCCTACACTAGTTGTGTCTGTTATATTTATTATCTCTCTTCTTTTGAAGACGATACCGGAGGACCAGCTGTTGGAAGGTCAACTCTATTCACAGTAGGAACAAAGTCTTAACACAGCACATACTACAAACCACATATAATTAATCCCAGCACTACTCATTTTGGAGTCAAACAAAGCTACGACAGTCGAGTGGGGCGGGACGAGCTACTCAGAGGTTTACTGAAGATCAGGAACCTATACCTCACAATCAAGAGGCGAGCACAAAGAAATCAAATTGGTTTATACTAGCTCGTAAAAACGATATTGGATATATTGGATTCGAATTACATAAATCAGACAATTATTGTATGCTGGATTTGTATTTTGATTATCTTTTACGATATTAATTCTTGGTTTAGTCATTACTTCATCTCGTATAAACGATATTGGATATTGGAACCCGTGAAATTCATCGTTATGACGACGAATAACATGAACTTTCAAAACGGAAATGGATACATCGAAAAGTCCAAAGGTTTTTACTGCTAATGTTAACAGATACGATGAATATTGTATCGCGCAGGTATTGAAATTTAGCAATCTTTTATTCTTAGTTCTTGACACAATTCACAGTGGGAAAATCCTCAAAAAAGGAAGATGAAGAGGCTATGGAGCAGGAAAACGAAGAGGAAACCAAGCCATCAGGTGTTATTCAGGGATATACAGTATACGGCACTTTAGATGAAGGGATAGAACACGCTCCAGATTTCGTTAATATTATTGCGGTGGTAAGTCCACAAAACAGAATAAAAAGCTCTTTTTATTCTTACTTATTTGTGAATTGAAGAAACACTATAGAAGCAACAATTTATGCTGGTTAACTGCTAGTAATTAGGTCAATAAAATTTGCCAACTCTTAGACGTTTTTAGTCGTATAATAAAAATTTTATTTCATATTATACGCACCAGTAAGTCTTTTGGTTTGAATTCATTTCATTTTAGAATGAATGACTATGGTAGTTGGAATGGACTTATGCGACTGCTAAAACAGGCACCATAGACCGTCTGTAGAAAGAGAGAACGGTCATTGGCTTTAACTATTTCCTGCAGAAACACCCAAGTAAACAGTTTGTGTGTAATTTAATGGTCACGATGGCAAATCAACGTAAATATTTGAGCGAAAATTTAGGGAATGTGCATTATATATCTTGAATACCCTGAGACTGCCCCGAACCCCCGGATTCTCTAATAGGGCATATTAATCTCAACCAGTGCTTTTGTGCACTACTAATTTGAGGGTCAGTTATTATCCAATATCCATTATCGTTTTTACGAGCTAGTGTAAACCAATTTGATTTCTTTGTGCTCGCCTCTTGATTGTGAGGAAGAAGTTCCTGATCTTCGGTAAACGTCTGTGTAGCTCGTCCCGCCACTCGACTGTCGTAGCTTTGGTTGACTCCAACAGGAGTAGTGCTGGGGTTAATTATATGTGATTTGTAGAATGAGGTGTGTTAAGACTGTTACTACTGTGAATGGAGTTGATCCTTTCACCAGTTAGTCCTTCGGTATCGTCGTCAATGGAAAAGAGATGATAATAATAATAGATATAATTAGTGAAGGTATTCAGACTAACAGACAGAGAAACAATAGGGAAACGTAACAACAGTCAGTCAACCGGTATATATATATATACCAGTAATAATAATAGGTGTAGTTAAAGCTGTCACGAGGGCAAGACTGAAGAGAATGTAAAGAAGTAAAAGGACGAACTTAGTTGTCTACATCTGAATGGTGTATGGGATTTTAAGGGGATAGGCCATTTGGATGCAGTCCTTGTGTTGCTGCATGGTTGTCCAGCTTTCGCTTAAAGGCGTCCACAGATGGTGCCATAGCTACATCTGCCGGTAAGGAATTCCAGGGACGGCACACCCGCAGGGAAAAGAAGTGGGAGCGCACCCGGGTCCTTGCCCTCTGATGAGCTATCCCTCTAGGATTTCCACGAGGGAGCCTATACCTACTCAATGGCAGAATTCTGATCATTTGTTATTTTGTAGGCAGTATTCAAATCCCCCCTCAGGCGACGGTAACTGAGTGTGAATAGGCCTAATTTCTTCAGCCTTTCTTCATATGGTTTGTTTCGGAGACCAACCACTCCTTCCGTTGCCCGTCTTTGGACTCTTTCCAGGAGGTTGGCGTCTCTTCTTAGCAATGGGGTGCAATGATATTATGCACTTCAAGATGCGGTCTGACATATGTTTTATACAACCTTAGAAAGAGCTCAGGAGTGAGTGCACCTAATTGTCTATGTGTAAAGTGTATGACCGCATATTCCCTCGCTACACCACCAGTGTTCTTCACGCTTGTGTCCATTTTTCCGTTAGGACTAGACTTAAGTGTTGCTTTGACGTTGTGCAGGACAAGCTTCCATTGCACAGGGTGTAACTTGCATTCTGCAGTCTACAGGTGCGTAATTTCACTACTTTGCAATTTTTCACGTTGAAAGTCATGCCACTGGTTACCGCCCAGTCTTCCAGAAGGTTTAGGTCTGCCTGTAGTCTATCCGAGTCCTCCGGACACTTTATCGCCCTCCATATCTTCACGTCATCAGCGTATAGAAGAGTCGGGCAGCTTAGACGGCATGGCAGATCATTGATAAAAATGAAAAACATCAGTGGTCCTAGGAAAGAACCGTGTGACGTCACTGATGACGAGTTGTGCCAAGATGATGGAACTGAATTGACCCTAGTTGAAAATCGCCTTTCAGCTAGGTAGTCCTTTGCCCATGGATGAAATGGCCCACCTATATCTGCCTGACTTATTTTGTGTAGGAGAAGGTGATGGTGAACAGTGTCAAATGCCTTCTCAAAGTCTAGAAAGATCACATGGACTGGAACATTCATATCCCAGCATGATATCCAGTCGTCCCAAGCTGATAATAAGTTAGTGACGCAGGATCTTCCTTTCCTGAAACCGTGTTGGGCTTCATGGAGTGTTTTAGACCTATCCATATATTCCCTGATGTGATCATCAATAATACTTTCCAGTACTTTCGATACCACTGGGAGTAGAGCTACTGGTCTATAACTGGTGGGATTTCGCCTATCCCCACCCTTGAAGATCGGAGAAAGAATGCTTCTTTTCCATTCCTTTGGCAGTTTCCCCGATTCCATTGAGTGTTGGAACAAGTCGCATAAAGGCCTACAGAGAGCTTCGGCGCACTCTTTCAGAACAGATAGCCTGATGTCATCACAACTTGGGGACTTCCCAGGTATGAGTCGCTGCAGCTTTCTCAGTACTATCGCAGGGTTTATTGGGGGGGTGGCTATTTGGTCTTCCTCCTGTGAAATAGTCATGCCGCCATTTGGGTCCGTAACGGTAATGCCCACATTGCTGTTTAGCTGTTTGGCGAAGGCTAAACTAAATGTTTCAGCCATCTCCAGACTAGTGAGATATTGACCGTTTTGGCCTACTAAGGCGCAAGCCCCTTGGTTGGTTGGTTTCCTTTCCGACATGAACCGGTACAAATTCTTCTAGTTTGCCAGGAGTTTTTTAGCAAGGTTAGCCTGGAATGACCTTCTGTCCCTCCTGACTCTTGCATTGCACCGGTTCCTGAGTTCCAGGTATGCATCATGGTCGATCAGGCTTTTAGATACGCGCCACGTAAACCAAGCCTTCCGCTTTGCTTGCAGAATACGCTGCGTGCCTCTCTTTAACCATGATGATTTCCTTTTGGGCTGTGCTGTGACTAAAGGGAAGGTATCCGAGATTACTGTATGAATAAACTTTTTTACCGCTTCCCAGTGTTCATCCACAGACAGCTCATCCCATGCTAAGGGCCAGTCTGCATCGGACAAGAGCCTCCGCATTTCATCATAGTCAGCCTTGCTATAACAGACATGGTTGCGTAACGTCCCACTGCAAATGCTCACGGAGAACGAGATCGAAACCTATGACTGCATGGTCACTAGTTCCTAGAGGAGTCATGATCTGGACCTTTTCGACGAATAGTTGGTCACTAGTTAGAATATAGTCTAGTTTTGATGACTTTCCACTAGGGCCCCACCTAGTGTCGTCTCCAACGTTCTCAGTCAGTCCCGTGTTCCGAATAGTTTGCAGTAGATTTCGGCGGAATTTTCCCTTAGCATACCCCGAGCCAAGGTTCAGTGATGGGGCATTGAAATTTCCAGCAATGGTGATTTGGTCATAGCCCAAGTCTCGCATCCCTGTGATAGTGCTGAGCAGCAGCTGATTGTGCTCTGCCCCACAGGTGGGAGATCGGTAGATGCCACCAAGTAAATGTTTGGTGTGGCCTACGGTGAAACGACACCATATGGAGTCTGGGAGTTCAATAAGTGGTGGGTCCGTTGAGCGCACACATTTAAGTTGCCTATCAAAGTATATGGCCACTCCCCCTCCTTCCTTATTATCCCTGTCTCTCCTGACCAAAACCATATCACCTATACTGATTTCATTATCGGCGATAGTGGGGGTTAGCCATGTTTCGGTGAGAATGATCATTTTCAGTTGTAGGTGTGCTTGGGGATTTCGGAGTTCACCTATTTTTCCTCTCAGCCCCCTCACATTGCTATATAGGCAGCTGACAGTGAGTCTTACAACCCCAGCGTGTTGTGGGGTAGTTGACGTGGGAGAGGGTTAAAATTCTAAAAAGTAATCTAGGTAGGTGGAGAGAGAGGTTGATTACTGAATCTTTGTTCATCGAATCTACACCCAACACGTGCAATAGGAATGAATCATCACTAATACCCGAAATATGGAAAATAATACTACCAATCAAATCAAGTGAAAATCAAGTGAAAAACAATGGAACTATATAAATGAATTTAGGAAGTCGTGTGATTAACTTGATATGATTATGAGCAATAAATTGTGCTCGAAACGTCATCAGTAAATATTACTGTATAACACTGTGAGACTCTATCAAAATAAAATTTACCCATAATGGAATTACACTCTACCACAGTGCCCAAGTTTTATTCTTATATCATTGACGTGAAGCTGTCTGCTGGCAGGGAACTTGGTGTTGGGACTAGTTGGCCAGTTCCGATGGAACCGGCCCGTTGTGGTATTTTCCCTTGGATTTAGGCAGGACACTTGGGTGGCACAGACTGTTATTCTCAGAACTGCATCTCTCGAGTGTCACTGAAGCTTGGGGACGTATTAAAGCCTCCGTTTGCTGCCTCTTTATGGTTCGAGGTCTGCTTTCGCAGCATCAGGTGTGTCCTCCCATTTTCCCCTTGATCTCATACCACCGTTGAAGTGCTATGGCCAACTGCTCTGGGGAGTTGAATGTGACACTTAGCAGCTTTGGGGAGCTAATCAGTGTGAGATGAGCGGGGCGAGGTAGTCGGGAAATGGAGATGGCTCCACAAGCGCCACGGGCCATCTGAGACGACAGCCATCTCCACTGCTGTACGTCATGCATGTGTTTTTCACAAGCAGTGCCCGTTTCTAGCTCCGGAACACCGTGTACCACCATAGAGGTAGAAGGCAGAAGTTCCGGTGACTCCCTCGCCATTTGTCTGATAGCCCATGGTCTGTCTTGTCTCATCCTTATATTAGAGCTTCTGTCGATGGCTAGTACCCGAGCCATCAATAGTACCTTTTCGGCCTCTTCGGCAGAGTCCAGTGTAACCCGTAATGGGGGTGGCTTACCTTGAGGTGTGTGGACACCCCTGTACAGCCTGCACAATTTCACTGAATTAATATTCAGACCTAGTTTATTGCACAGGTTGGACCACTGTTCCTGATCAAACAGGGCCCGCTGTTCAAGCAAGCTGTCCTTGCTCACAGGTACGTTAAAGAGGATGAGCGAATTAGACCGATTAACCTCAGACTTAGGTTTGGCCTTTGG